AATTACTTCTGGAAATTACAGATAAAATAAATTAAGATAAATAAGAAATTGTTTTTAAGGTGTTAAATAAGCAGGCATTCTAGGAATTAAAGAGTGAGGCTCTGCTGTGAGGTCAATAGCTAACCAGGTACACACATGATTGGTTTGGGCAATTTTTTATTCTATACTTGACAACAGATATAAAGTTGACTTTATTCTTTGAGTTAATTGTTTTAATTTCTAAATTAACATACTCAAGGATGATACCTACAATAGAGTACTATGAACTACAATAGAGTACTATGCTTTCATAGAAGATGGAAGTAAATATTAGATTGATGAAAAGAAGAATTCTGAAAGAACATTTTGGTATGTCTAGGTATACTTGTCTTGAGCATGCAATGGAAGCAAAGTAAAATCTTCCTAAAATATCCCAGAATAGTTTACAGCCAATAGTTACCCCATGTCCTTCATGAGTTCCATAATCACCAGGCAGTGGTTTGCCATAGGGCAACTGGGACTCCCTCCTCTCCCTTCTTTGTTTTTATCCAGAAGTTGCTAAAAAATACCTTATCTGTTTTAACATTCACCCAGCTGTAATAAACAATGATAACAACAAAGTCTTTCAAAAGCAGAGTAAAACATGCTACCTAGAAAAAGGCATCTGAATAAAAACCAGAGCTCCAAGTTTGGATCTTTTTCCAGACCTTTAGTCAAGGACGGTATATTTCCTCACTAATATGCTGAACAGTTAGATCTTTATTGCAGTCTGTAACCACAGCTTTTGGAAGACACATGTGGTACTGCAGAACTAAAGCGAATGTGTCAGCTCCTGCTGCCAAAGTTGTTCTTGGCATCAAGTCACTTGCAGTGATTGAAACTGCTGTCCAAAGTCAGTGGCCTAAAATCAAACACAAAGTGCTGAAAAGCTTAAAAACTAGACAGAGGGATCTTCACTTTGGAAATACTATTTTCTGCTCTGTATGTGAAATTCCCAACATCTTCCAGTGAATGTATTTCAGTTCACTGCTTCTATGGTCTGAGAGAGGAAATTATCTATGCAAACTATCACTATTTCCTCTGTAGTCTTTCAGCTTCAGACTTAATTTTAAACTAGTTTCATTCTTTTTTTTTTTTAAGCTTCTGACTGTGTAAGTCTGTAAAATAATATGCTTAACATGTTTTATAAAATAAATGTATTGACATTTTACTTCCTTCCAAAACATTCATGGTAGATTTTACACAGCAGATTTTTCTATAATGGACAATTTATTATTTTCTCTATTATTTTTTTTTATTATTATTATATTATCTATATTATTATTATTTATTATTTTCTATCATGGACAATTATCCTTGCAGAACTGTTGCAGACCAAGGTTTATTATCGTGGTATTTATTGCCTCCTTACCTTAAGAATTTCAAAGCACTGTGTAAGCTTTGACCCCAGAGATTTGCATCTATGCATAACATGTGCTCTGTTAGGCACAGATGCAGTTTATTTATGTGTCTTGAACATGTCTGTGAACAGGCTTTGGCTTTTGGTTTGCTTCTGCAGACTGAAGCATTCAGTAAAGTTCTTCCCAGTTAGAAACCAGGAGAAGTGTATTTTCTTACCAGCAACTACCGAAAGATGTACTTATTATCAGACACAAATTATGGAATTTCTTCATTGAGCCCAGGGAGGTACCAAGGTCACATGTATCTTCATCAAAAATTATGTTATTTTGTCTCTTGGGTGTTAGGAACTGGAGTGAAGAAGTGTCATTATCACATTCTGTGCCTGGATGATGAACTTTCATCACTGTTCCTTTTAAAAATTTTAAAAATTTCAAATGACTGGATGATTTCCCAAAGAAAATACATTTTATAGATGACAGCAGCACCTTACTTTAAATGGCAATACACAAAGGTGGACTTATCACAGACTGGAAAGAGACACCCTGACAGGACGGTAATGATCACTGTCTAAAAGCCAGCAGCAACCAATACTCCTCATTTATCCATACAACTTGATGCTAACACTAGCAAATCAACCAACCCTACCCAAAAACTATTTGAATATTTACTGTTTCTTTTAAGTGCCCTCACTCATAACAGCTTTCATGAAATTATGTTAGGTCTTGTGATCCCCTCTGATATTTGTGATTTTTCCTACAGTTCTACATTATTCTAGTGTTTAACGCTTTGCATAGGAGTGTTTGTAGTAAAATTAAATAAATAAATAGTTGAATAAATTGTATTATAATGGCACAATGCATACTCACATTCTTTACACTCTATTTCTCCCAGTCTCTGTAGTTACGTAATACTGAATCTATTGTGATTTTATGTAAAAAAAGGAACTAGGGATATATTACTCTCTTCATTTTAGTCATTGTGACATTTTATTGGTAAAAGTCTGCTCATACAAAACATTACTTTGTAAAAGTAATGTACACAGAATTGCCAATCAAGTACATGATAGAGGAATAGTGACTTTGCTGGTATTAAATGAAGACTAATAGGTTTGGCATTCTTCATGCTTACTGCTTTGTCTCATTGTGAATGCATAGTCACTGAGTGCTCTGAATTTTAAATGAAACCTTAAAAGCTGATCAACTTTGCTTGTGGTCCGTTATAGTCCTCCACAAAACCAAATCATCTAAACCTGATGAAGCAGCAAAGGGGAATCCTGAGTGCTACAGTCACCTCTCAATGGTTTACTCTTGATCTCCCAGTTTAATGTGCATTTCTGTTGGTGTTTGGATGTAGATATGTTGCCTTCAGGAGAGGCAACGGTGACCTGGTTGCAAGGCGACAGCACGGCAGCCCGGCCTGTCCAGGCTACTCGGACTAACGACACATGCTGACACCAATGTGGTGGACAGTCGAAAGCCTTTATTATCTTATCTCATGGGTTTAAATAGTCTTGGGGGACTTTGCTACGTCAGAGGGGGGTTGTAGGGTCCCTAGGGTTAGTTGGGAGTGGAAAACTACTGAGTTAGGTTACATGCTCTGGGGTTAATAGATAACGTGAAGCAGGGAGAAGGGGGAAGGGTCTTTCTTTCCGTCACATCCCGAGATCTTCCGCTCGCCTGTCCCTATCTACCACATCTATACAAGTACATAAGGAAAAGTGAGGAGAACAACTGAGAACTAGACTTAACTAGAGAGGAAAAGCCATTGAGGAATGAATAGGATGAAAAGAAAGATTTTTTTATGCCCAAAAGAGGGGTAATTTTCCTTCTTCTGATCAAGTGCAACCCACATTGTGCTTATAAGCAGTCCCATGAGAGGAAATGAGAAAATGCAAGTAAAATGGGTAAAATTATAAAAGTTATAAACTTGTCTTTAGGAAGAAGACAGAAATGGGGGAAAAAAGGAAGTATGGGCTGGGTCTGTATTTAGAATGGAAAAACATAATTATCCTACAGCTTAGGATGAGCATCCTGGGACGCTCATTTAGATTTTAGTTCCATGGTTTCCTCTTCATGAAGGTAAAGGCCTTGGCAAGAATGAGCACTTGTGCTTAGCACTTTTCACTGCAGCTAGATGAAGCCCAGATTATGTATCTCTGCTTTTCACCTGTCACATGTATAACTAGCAGTAGTATAACATCCCCACCTAATCTAGGGCTGTGCCAAACTGCTCTAAGGAAGGTATGTAGAGTACTCAAGTATGACTTAAACTTCTAGCTACTGGGAGGGATGTGTTGTGAGGGATAGGCTTGGACTGACAGTGACAAAACCTTTCCTCTCCCATCTGCAATATCAATAATGTCAATGTCTTCAATATTTTCAAATACATAGTCTTACTTCTAATCCATAGAAGTTGAAAAGAAGTGTGGCACACTTTTTTCCTCCTTAATTCTTATCAGAAGGATGAGGGTGCGAGCTGCTGCAGGCAAAAAATTCATGGTGTGACTATATGTGCTAAAATATGAGTGAGTTTGAATGGGTTTAAAACTCATGTGAGAATCACAAAATCATTTGGTCTCATTTTAATCTCAAGTGAGAGTGAGTGAGAGAAAACTGTGCAAGTCAGTGAAAATATTCAGAAGGAATGAGTTTTGATGGACAAATGTCTTCTGCAGTTTACACGCTATCTGCACCGTAAGGTTTAAACCTGATAGGTTTATATTCAGGTGTACAGTCACATTATGAAAACTGGCCAATGTTTCGTCTGTGAGCAGAAACTGAGATGTTACATGAGACAAGAAGTGACTATCACTGTTTCGTACATTCGGCACATGTTGTTAACCTCAAAACTTGTGGTTTTCATAATTTTGGACAAAAACTATCTCTTTAGAGAATCGACTAAAAGCTCTAGCATGTTTTCTTTTAATTCTAGGGCTACTTAATACATACAAGAGTGATATACAAGAGTGTATATTCAAGCTTAAAAAAATGAACCTTTTAAAAAAAACATATCCATACACATATGCCCACACACATACATATATATTCACACATTTTTAATAACCTTGCATTTCTTAAATAAATGTTTCATAAAATTAAGTTCTACAGGAAAATTGAACTGTTATTTTGCTACTGCTGTGCATCCAGAAGCTTTTTTTGACAGTGTATTGTTTATAGAGTCCTGAATTCTCATTCAGCAGGCAATAGGAAACTGATGCACTGATAACAATCCTGTTATCTATTTTAATAAAAACTTAATGTCCTTTCTTTCCCCTTGAAACTTACAGAATTTTCAAGTAATTTTTTTCCTGAATGCTACTGATCATCTAGCAAACATCTAAATCATATTGTCTTAATTCTTGGAGAAAGGTATTGGGCAATTTTACCTTTATAAAGGTGAGTGCAGGCTAGACAAGTAGCAAGTTTGTAAGTCTTTAACAGTTAATCACAGAGAAAATGTTTGTGGGGCATCCCTGGCACATGCAGGTCTGTCAAATGCTTACCTGTACCCTTGGAAAGTGCTAATCAAAGGCAGTCTAACAAATTAGAATACAATACATTGTCAAGATTTGTCTCTTTTTCTCTCTCCCTTTTTGTTGATGTTGTTGGTGTTGCATGTAGCATCTATGAAAATCCTGGTTTTCACAGAATGCAGCCAGACGGCAGGGGCCGGGAGCCGGGTAGACTTATCCGAGGAACAAAGAGGACAGTTTGGCAGTGGCTCGATGGACTGAGCTCGAAGAATGGCCCGTCAGGGGATGGCATTTAAATGGCGACCAGAGGCTGACAGTGGCCAAACCCAGGGTTTCAGGGCAAGCTATGGTTGACGGAAACACCCAGGCTTCTGGGAGAGCCAAACTGCTAAAGAATACATCCTCAGTTCAGCATGATTTTCCACAGCTGAGGAGAGAGATAGAGATTTCACCACCCAAGCCCAGAGGGTAAGTTGGGTCAGAACAGGGTGGGACCCTGGTGGGCGGCTGAGCTACCTTTTTTTCTTTTCTGCATTTTAACCACCGTCCGTGCCCAGATGGGGACTGTAGGCTTGCATGTCCCTGGCGGCCGGGAGGGTTTTTCTTTTCCGAAGAGGACGCAACCTCGCTCGGTCTTTTCTGGGGTAACTCATACTGGAAAGCTCCTTCTCTTTCTTGGAAAGCTGCCTTTTCTACCCTCTCCTCCCTATTCTGGGCTATGGGGGCAGGAGGGGTCGAAAGGACACCAATGGGACAGAATTGTAAACGGCGACATGTCAGCTATGGGAGAATTGTTAACATCCTAAGAGAGGCCCTTCACATCCACGCATTTCGTCAGCTTAGTGGCCATGTCGGGCCACTCACCTCTAGATTTCCCCCTTGGCTTCTGCGAAGCTCCCCCTTCCCTTTTCCCCACGGACTTCCCCAAACCTTCTCCCTTGGGAATGGCAGCGGCCGAGCCACCCCAAGCACCCTGCCGGACACTGTTATCCTCCCTTAGGGGTGGCATTGGCTGTGGCTCCCAGGGCGAGATGCAGTGCACCCCGCACCCCCTCCCAAGATGGTGCTGGCCACCCTGGCTACAGGGACCCCATTTTCCCGCCTTGATCCTTCTCTTCCACCCAAGTTTTCCCGCCAGCCCCATCCCTCCCCCAATGGCCCTGCACCATCCTGCAACAAGGCCAGCCCCTATTGGGGAGGAGGTGAGATTGGATTAATCCCCCAGTCCTTCTTCTGGCCCCCCTCTGATGGGAGGGATCGCCGGAGGGGCCCCTCCATTAGAGGTCCTTCCTTTGTAAGAGAGCTTTCCCCTTTGCTGCGGGGGAGGGCTCCCTTCGAAGGGAGCAGAGCTGGAAACCTGGACCACGGCTCCACTGTTTTCTTTCCCCTGAAACAGTGGCGCCCAGGTTCACCCCTATCCCATCTCCTAAATGTACCTTGCCCAAAGTTCCCTTATTATTTCAATACAAGTTTTCTCCATTGCTTGTGCTATTCTGGAAATAAATTCTTGGATTGAGTTATATCTTATAGAAGGAAAGATCATCCTCTCTAATTACTGCCCACAATGCTATGCCAACTTCACAATCAAATAATCAAATTGGAGAAACCACGTCGCTGCTTCTGCTCTGCTAGAATTCGAAAAACCACAAGCATCTCGTCATGAATCCTGCTTTCATCCTCGATACAGAATGTGTTTGTGATAATTTTGTACCCTTTATCTTAAATTGTAATTTTTGCCCCATTCACTGTAACTATGATTGATGTATCGCTTTCTGATATCTCTCAAATTTGTAACGTTGCTAATCTGTTTTTACCTCAGAACTCCCTTTCCTTTATGTAAATTCAAAAGATTGAGTTGCGGGATTTGTAACTTTCTCTTCTTCCCTCCCCATTCCCCCACCCCACTCCCCCCGCAGTCCTTTGTCCCAACCCTGCATTCCCTTATCACTCCCCTGCGCCATGTGGTCTGTCCTTGCCCCCCTCCCCGCCTTTCCCATTGCTGCTCCTGCCTTCCCGGGGTCTCCGGGGTTTCCCTGCCCCTGTCCCCTGCCCTGTCCCCATTGGCCGCGGCTCAGGTTCCCCCCCCACCCGCCCCCAGCACGGGGTATAACCGACCCTTGTTCGGTGCCCCGGTGTCTCAGTAACTACCTTCTACAATAAACACGTGTTTGCACCCGAGCCCTGTGTCGCCATTTCATCTGTTCCTGCGCTGTTCCTGCGCTAGAACTGAGCCTCAAAGAGCTGAAGGGGAAAAGCGGCCACCGCCTCTCCCCTCCTCCCGCCGTGCCTGCAGGTGCCCGCCTGGAGCCGGTCTCACACGGCAACAACAGAATGGCTTTTTTTACTTATCTAAGGAGTGCATCCATTATGTCAAGACCTACCATGTATGTTTTTGACATGCCTATAAAGGACATTATTTTGCTGACTGAAGTGGTCTGCAAAAACTTACCAAAACATACTCCTTATACATTCCTTCCCTAAAGTATAGTTTAAGTAATCTTAATCTTTGAGGTAGTGATGAAAGCCAGTTCATTTTTGGGGCCTGAAGTGCAAAGTGGAGCTCTGTCTAAGCAAGGAAAGGCAGATTTTTTTTTTTTTTTGCAGGTTATGTGTTTTTCAATGTGTGAATGTGTAACGCAGACCACAAATGTGAACCTGATAGGTTTATATTCAGGTGTATTTTCTCAAGGCCAGATGTATTTACCTTTAATTTATGCAGGTAAATCCACCATGCTGACTACTCACAGTCCATTTGCAGCTAACAAAATTCAGAATGTGGCTTCATTCACTGTATTTTAAAATAGAAAGATAGCTTGTAGGCTTTGTGAAGTCCAAACAGATACTGTCCTTATTACCAAGTGTGGAACTCTCACATCTCGATCCAAAACACAGCTGTAATAATCAAATCTCATGGCAGTGTTTCCCCAGGGTGAAAATACCTTCATTGAAATCGCAGTCCTGGACTGATTGGACATCCTTTTTCACTGAAATATTGCCAACTCTCGTCTTTTTGAGCATGACTTCTGTATTCCATCTCTACATAAAAAGAGCTGAGATTATGCAAAGAAACTAAAAGCAAATAACCTTGAGGAAATTTTAATTAATTTTGAGATCTGGGTCTGGAGACTGTTGCTAAATTTGTCCAAATTGATTCATGCATTACTTTTCCTCAAATTTGTTTTTAGGCTGAAGCAAAGTGCTGCTGCAGTCTGGGACAACATCTCCTCAAATCTAGTTTCAGAGATAGACTTTGAAGACAGGGAGAGGTCATTCCAGACCACTCCCAGGAGATGAACTTCATATTGTAGTGTGTTTCTTAGTACTCTGTTATGCACAGTGCTTCCTGCTTTGAATTTTGTCATCCTAATTAATGGTCTTACTACATATGATAGCTGCCATTATACGATCAACATAATTTTTTATTTCAATGATTCACAAGACATTGAAAATAATACAGAGATTCACAGTTCTTGGAATAATTTATTTTTAAAGATGCTAAAAAAATAGAGTATTATGACTATTTTAAATTTCAAATAATTTGAGATGCAAATTTTTAAAATTATCATATTCCTCTTCAGGGCAGAGATATTGATTCTTTGTTTTCTTGATTGGTTCAATTTTTAATGCATAAAATTGCTTTTTTTTTTTTTTTCTTGCAAAACTTTTGGCATTTCAGGTTATATTGTAGATTGACTAAGGTGAGCAACTCTTTAACTTGTGTAACTTAAGCATTTATTACAAGAGTTTTATCAGAAGTTTGTGCTAGAGTTTCTTCTTAAAGATAGAACTCTGTTTCCAGGAATCCATATCGATTTTCTAGCCAGATACAGGAAGAGTTACAATCAAATAAACATCTGACAATGACAATTAAAAGACCTTAATAAGTCTATAAAAATAATTTCCTCTTTTGTCCAACCTTTACCTGAAAATAAAGTATAAATTAAACAGTCTTAGTATCATCACTGTTTTTAGACCTCTTTCCCTTCATATTCTATCATTTGAAATTTATTGCACTGAATGGGCAATAGGCCATCATGGAAATTTGCTTTCCTGATAACACATAATGGCTATTTTATTGTAATCAGTTTACAGGATCACATTTTGTTGTGGCTCCAGAATGGTCCTACCTTCTCTTTTCCCTCCCCTCCCCACCTCCTCCCAAAAATCAAAGTTAATCAAGGAATCAGAAAAGACAACCTTACTCAAAATAAAACTATGAAAATAAGAAAAGTGAGTACACTCACATCAACTCCTACAAAATCATTGGAGAGAATACATTAGGCTTTCTCCTAAAATTTTCCTTCGAAGGAGGTTGAGGAAAGCAGTAGCAGATACCTACGGAAAATTTGTAAGGAGGGTTTTGCATGTTACAAATCAGCCAGAGGACTTCATTATTATTCTGTGTAAATGTTCAGAAATGGTCTTAGCCTTGCACAGAAAAATTATTAGGAGTCAAGCAAAGAAAATGAAAAATACTGTGAAAGTCCAGCAAGAGGAGACGAATTTTTTATATATGTACACACGCAAGAGGATTAATTTTTTTAGATAAAGGATAGAGAGGCCATCCTCAGAGTTTTAGCCCAAAGAAATTTTCCAGGCTTTAAGAACTGTCCTTTTAAAGCTGCCTTGTTAATGATAGCAGCCAGCAGATAGCAGATAATACACATCAATGACTTCAGCTTAGACAGTTGGGATTTCAATGTTCCGCTGCTGCATATCCTTTTCAAGAAAACTATTCATAAAATAGAGGTTTCTTTTTTTTTTTTTTTTTTTTTTTTTTGGAAAGTGCTATCAAACTGGGACCTCTTAATTTAAAAGGATTCATTTTCTCTTTTTCTTTCTAAACCTTGTTAAGGAGTATAAAAATAACACAATGTGAAACTGATTTCCCCTAAAAGATGTAATGAAAATGAAGCGGTGGTGTTGCAGATTGTAATCCTTCTGAAGAATAAAAAAGCCAGAGTTGAAAGTGAAATTCTGGCATATGCTGCCTGAGATGAAAGTTACTGCAAAAGGTACTGGTATTTTGACCTAATGGAAGATGTAAAGAGAATAATGAGGTTACATGACCTCACAATAGTTTTCAAATCAGTGCTTTCTTAAAGGAGGATTTTGTTGTCAGCAGCTGTCTACCAATTACATTATTTAATGAAATACACACCCTAAACCAGTGGTAACTCTTGTTTCTCCCTTTCTATTTTTAAAATAGAAATCAGAAGAAAGGCCTCATCTTAACTTCAAGTATGCTTTAGATGGATTTAAAGTAAGTTAATTTGAAATAACAGTAAATAATCCCCTACCATTCAGTCACTGGTTTTACATTCGTCTGTAATTATCTTTAAATAAATCTTTTACAGCATGCTTAATATGTAGCAGTTTTTTCTTCTTTTACTACTTTATGCCTCAGATAAAAATGACATTTCTGTAAGGAAACATAAGTCATTATTCTTTGCCTTTGGGGACGTGCTCAAGGAGACGTATGAATCGTTCAGGAATTGCAAGTGCCAGCCAATACAGATTTTCACTGTGCTTCGCTGCCCTGTATGCTCCCACTGCTTCAAAGTAAATAGTTGCATCCTGTCAGCCACCACTTGATAAATGTCTTTGAGGTGACACAATAAGCTCCATGAAAACAGAATGAGAAAATATTAAGATGATTAATGCTGGTGTAAAAACTGCAGTAGGAAAGAGGTGACTGGATAAAAACAAACTCTTACCTCAGGATCCCATGGATGTGTATTTGTGCAAGGGACTGGGCTGGCACTTCAAATAAGAGGTGTATTCCCTTTTTTATTTCCACCCTTAAATATGGCCCTTTTTATCTTAATAGCAGTTACTTCAAGTCTCTCTGTTAAAGGAAGAAGTCTTTCCAACTCGTTTTTCTAGAGGCACTTAAGGATCATTAACACTGAGGCAAATGTTTTATTCATTTTGCCACAGACCAATTTCTTTGTTAAGACTTTTGCAACAAAATACTGCACAACTTAGCAGAGGTGTGATTGATTAAGCATGAAGGAACAGAATTAGGGCATCCTGATGAATTTTCCCCAGTCTGCTCAGTTAAAAAAAAAAAAATTATTTGGGTAGTAACACTTGAATACTAACTAGCTGACTTCATCCATTGAAGGAAAATGGGTGATGATACCTTTAGGTTAATATTACTTGAACATTTTGTTCTTGTATAATTTATAATTGTTAGTGATTTGTCTGCCTCTTCACAATTGTCTTTGTTCTTTGCTAAGGTGCTATCAATGCAGGCAGCATTGGTCTGAGGCAGAAAGACATGGTCCTCTGAGAACGAGTGTAACCAGTAACAAAGATGCAGTTTGTGCAAGCACAGTTAGGTTGTGTGCTCAGTCAAAAGTGCTATATTAACAAATCCCACACATAATCAGTAGAACAACATCTGCTCCAGAGTTGCAGAAGCACAGGCTGGATGGTCAGAGTTGTCCTGCTGCAACCCTGGGCCAGGAGCTGCCTTCCCACAGGCTGCTATACCCTGACTGCTAAATCTGGGACTTCATAGAGTTAGGCTCTGCCCAGCATACCTGTGAACAAGCCCTGCACCTGGTACCAGCAGACAAGCTTGTTTTCTTCTGCCACGGAGCTTTTTCAAGTAGCATATCCACTTGGAGTGGAAAAGACAGAATTCTCTTGAGCTGACAAAAATATTTGGTAGATTGCTTTGGATACCTATTGAAGAGAAAAATCAAAATCAACAGACACATCATTACAGAAGTTAGTAATCCCTTTTCTTTCCCAAAAGGCTGGTCAATCACTGGGAGAGGCTGACTGTCAAAGTGGATGAGTCCTTATCCCTGGAAGTGTTCCAAAACTGAGTGGATGTGGCACCTAGAGACATGGTTTATTTGTGAACACGTGTTTGTGCTACATTGATGGTTGGACATGATGATCTTAAGGGTCTTTTTCAATCTTAATGATTCTATGATTTTATTGTTCAGTGTTGGACCTGCTGGAGTTAGGCTAGTGGTTGGACTTGATTATTTTAGAGGTATTTTCCAACCCTAATGACTCTGTGATTCACGTTGTGTTATAAAATGTTTAACACTTCATTCTAAATTATACACATTCATCTTATAATAATGAGATTCATAAATGCTATCCACATAGAGCAAAGCAAAATATTTTGATTTTTAGATTTAAAGAGTGATAATTCTACAGAAAACTTCATAAGAATGATGAAATTTCAATTATTATGTCATGTCTTACCATGTGCCAAGTGCCTTTTTCAGGTCATCAAAATCCATGGCTCATTTTGGTGCCTATTTGCCTGTCTCATCTGTGAGTATTCCAGTCAACCTGCTAAAATATGTTTATATCTTGCTCTTAGTTGGCTTTTAATGCTCTTTAGCACCAGTGGATTAAAAAAAAATCAAATTCTTGGGGATTTGATTGAGGAGAATGTGATATAATTTGGACTGAACGTAATCTGGACCTCTTTCAGTGCACTTGAGCCAAAGAGAATTGATTTGTATTGGGCGTATGTGTAAAAGTATTTAATGGGCTGACCTTTGTAGCAGAAATACATGGCTCATTCTGAGGTGCCGGTGATAATATATTTCTAAAAAGAAAATAGGGGGGAAAAGGTAACCAGACCACATCAGTCAGAGTAGCCTAACTGAGCCAGGAATGTGTCGTCTTGAATTTCGTTCCTGTCAGAAACATCTTATATTATCAGCAAAGAGGAAAACCTATTATCATTACTTTTACATTTGTACATGATATAAAAACGAGAGAGAGAAAAAAAAATCCTTTATTATACACTCAGTTAAGAGTCTCCACTGGACCAAAAGGAATTTTCTTCACCTCATGAAACACAAACAGTTTTAAAGAGCTATATTTGAGCTGCTGTTACTTACATTGTCTTGCTCCAGAAAAAATGTTTGACAGCTGTGAGAAAGGAAAACAGTTGTGTGCTGTAAAGACCTATCCACAGGGCTTGTTCTAATGACAGCGGATGCCCAATACCCATCGGCCCAGTCTTTCAAACTCTCATATATCAGTCAGAGGGGCAGGAAAATTACCTACTGCAAAGCCTTATCTTGCAGAACATATAGATTATGTTATATTCTGCTCATCAGAGAAGCCACACACAGCCAGCAACATGCTGTGCAGTTGGTACCACTGTGAAATGGAGGGACAAAGAGGCTTCTCTGGCTGGGTGAGAAGAATGCCAGGTGTCATTTAGGTGACAGTGGTGATCCAAAGCTCTCTTGGCCAGTATGACAATATTTACCAATTTTGCTTTTGAGATTTAACACATTGCCAGAGACACCTGATGGCCTGGGTGACTTCTGGATGATTTTGAAAAATATGTGCTCTAATTCAGATAATGAAATTACCACCAGAAGCATCAGGAACAACAGATGGGAAAACTAACCCATCTCATCCCTATTCCTCAAGTAACTATGAGGCAAGCGGACCTGTTTGATGTGGGGTTTCTCTTGTGCTTATGTGTGACTTTTCTCATTGCTTATAAAATTGATACAGATATCTGATGGATCTGTGTGCTACAAAAACCTGCTTGTAACTACTGTTTGTGACAGTGGTGTGCTGGTGGTGACGGAGGCAGTGCTTCCAGGTGAACTGTGGGATTACCTCCATCTTTTGCCCAGATGGCTTGTCTGCCTTCCAGTTAGCCACAAGTGGCAGTGCTCTTACAGTCTCTTCTGGAGTGCTTACAGAAAAGAAAAACACTGAGTAAATGAATTAAGGAAGTTTTCCTTGTTTTTTTAAATCCACTTCTGTATTTCTTGCAAAGTATTTCTTCATCTGCTTTGTAATAGGACATCAAATCTGAAGGTACAGTAGACACACAGAGGCATGGTAAGCTGACCTGGATATGGCAAGAGCAATTATATAGGCTCCTGGTGGAAAGCCATAGGATTATGTGTATATTTGAATCCCAAGGAGGAAAAATTATTTAATATGGGAGGGTGCCTGTTGTGTTCCTCATTTGTGTGTGCACACATGCACACAGAGATGTATAGGTACTTACACATGTGCAAGTTATTTCTGTAGAGTCAAATGGAATTTGGATCAAGACACAATCTAAAACATCAAGCTCTCTTCTTAGTTGAAAAATGACCTTTTCACAAGTTAAATGTACCTTTTCAAATGACAGCTCATGGAATGAGAGGTAGCAGACATGAGAAACTTGCTGACAAATGCCATCCTTGTTTTATTTCAAGGATCTGGGGCAAAGGGCATCTTGAAAATTATTAGGCCAGGAAAAAACTGACATGTCAGACAGGCAGGCATTTAAGCTCCACAGAACAGTTTTGGGGAAAATATATTAATTCCTTAGAGTTATATTCTGAAAATTTGACATGTACTTATTTTTTAATCTATTGTTTTTGAATTCCAGCATAGTATGTACAGATTCTGAATGCAGTAAATTCCTCTCAGTAGGAGCAGATTGGAGAAGAGCTATGATGCTGGTTAAGAAAAGACACCCCTAACAACAAGTCTGAAAAAATTGCTCTCTATATTTTTACCTGGCAGAATTTATTAATTTTCTGCTATGCCTAAAAGTTTAAGGCATTTTTTGCCATAAGAACAGAGCACAAGCTTCAAAGTCAGGTGAAATACTTTATTCTGTATGATAAAGATTTTTTAAGTTAGAAATTTCTATAAAAAGAGAATCAAATTTAGAATGCATTGTTGGCACAACTCGATTTGTTTAAGATGAATTGAATTTTTAAAGGTAAAATTGTGTAAACATATCTTTTATTTTTAGGCTAATCACAAAGATAGTTAGAACTCGTTCACATGCCAGCATTTGTTTATAATTTTTAAGAAAAGTGAATTTCTAGCTTCAAAACAGCTCTATTTTTCAAGCAGTTATATGCAACACTAATGTAATATCATTACAATATATAACAATCAAAATGACGTATAACAGTCAAGTTACTACATGGCACTGAGGAATTTTTTTCAGTCATTTGGTGGGTTGCAAAACAGGATTTGTTCATTAACTCACTAGGCAGTATCTACTTCTATACACATTACAATATTGAAATAATTTCCCAGGAACATAACTGCTATTCACTAGAAATAATACTGGGCTATGGTCTAATTGAAGTAAAATGAAATGTACTGTGAATATAGCTAAACAAAATGTAAGTACAAAATACAGATATATCAAAAACACAGCTTCCATTTTAGAAACAGTGGCATCTTAATATTAACTTAAACACTGATGTAAGAGGTGAAAAAAGGTAAAGGGCTTAAACTGTCTATTTCAACAAGCACCACATGCTTACTTTGCATGCATGGATAGTCTGGCCAAACATCAGGTTCGTAATGCTTAATGCTACATTTCTAGAAAGCATGTCGCTCTTATTCATACCAAACATTTATGTCCCTAAAATTAAAACATAGGTAACAGTTGTCTGAAGACTAATGCCAAGACTCATTGTCTAACATTTGTTCATGAAAACACAATGTCTATTTCACTATATATAGTGAAAAAAAAAAAATTTAGCCCTAAAAAGAACTTACACTAATCCCTAGAGTTATGTATCCTCTGTATGTAGTATGTATGTAGACTAAAAATTGCTCAAGCAAGCACACATACATAGAAACTGTATCATAGGAAAGGTCTGTACATAGTCAACTTTCTACTCTATGTGCTGCTAAGAAATATTTGGTGCAGAATGATTGTCCACTACTAGGAATGCTGTTGTCAGATTTTCAGCAGCTAAATGAGAATTGTACATTTTAACACACCATTATTAACTTATATTAAAAAAAGTCTGACTGAAGATATTGCTGTGCATTTTCTTCCAGGAAAATGATCACATTCAGTCAATCTTGACAGTTCAAGATAAGTCCAGACTAAACCTAACCTTATCTTACTGTAAAAAACATTGTCTGAAGGCGTTTTGAAAATATTATCTTTATTTCCTGAAATTCTTGAAATTGAAGGTTACCTTCAACTAAAGGTTAGAAAATCCTCACTGATGATGAACTCAGCAGAAGACTGGCAGCTACTCTTTGTGGCAGTCACCTGGCACACAGCTGTGGGATCAACCAAGTCCTATCTGCTTGCATATGTGGCCTCAGACTTGAGTTTGTTCCTCTGCAGATCAGTTGGAGATGATTCCAGACTGAGAAGGAAGGCCCAAAACAACTGCTCAGTTGGACATGGTAGATATACACATGCCCGTCAAAGACGCTGTGTAGTACAGTCCCAGAGGCACAGAATGTTTAAGGTTAGAAGAGGTCTTCAAGATCATCTAGTTCAACCCAGTACCACCATAATCACTCTGAACTATTTTCCAAAGTACCACATTGAGATGCCTCATGAATACTTCCAGGCACAGTGACTTTACCGCCACCCTGAGTAACTTATTTCAAGTGCCTGACTACCCTTTCTGTGAAAAAACACCTGTCTAAACTGAACCTCCCCTGATGTAACTTTGAGGCCAAGTCCTCTTGTTCTGTCACTTGAGACCTGGCAGAAGAGAATGGTGACCACCTGTAACGACGTATATTTGTATTCCACGGACAGATTCAAGCGAGATCTCTTTGGTTGCTCTTGGGGGATGAGGTTTATTCAGGATACATTGTGACCCTGCCTCGAGCTGCCAGACACAGCACGTGGCTGGGCCTCGGGTGATGGGGGAGGGGAGAGACAGAGAGGGGAGCAGGGACTCCCGGAGGACTCTCCAGGAGGAGAAGGGAAGATCCAAGAGAACGTCCAGCCCCCCAGAGAGCCTTTATCAAAGGGGGCTCCAGGGTGGGCTGGAACAGGACCTGGGCCAATGGGGTCACAGGCACCTGATGGTTCAGGGGAGGGTTACAGATGTGGGGTGAACCATACATTCTGGGGGGTGACATGGAACAGTCCATTTGGCTTTTGGACCCCGCTGTAGGTAAGGTTATTGTCCAGCCAGTAGGGGGCGTTATATTCGTCCTGGCTGTACCATTGTGGTTTTTAATCATATTTATCTACCCTTCCCAACAACCACCTGCTACAGCCTTTCTCAGGCAGCTGTAGAAAGTGGTGAGGTCCTGATCCTCCTCTTCTCCAGACTAAACAACTCCAGGTCCTTTAGCTGCTCCTCATGACACTTTGTTTTCCAGACTCTTCACCAACTTTGTTGCCCTTCTTTGGGTGAACTCCAGCACCCCTACGTCCCTTTTAATGTGAGTGGCCTAATACTGAACATGGGACTTGAGGTGCAGCTACCCTAGAGATCAAGACTTTATAACTATTTAGATTAACTGCTGCAGTCTGGGGCATGGTATTGTCCCTACAAAGCAACTGGGTATGATCTCCAGCCAGGTTAGAACTTGCATGAGGTTTTGAGCCTCAGCCCCATTCTTTCCTCTGGACTGTTCTAGTTTGTGGTTTCAAATTACATTTTGGCAGTTGAAAATCACATAATGATGCAATGGCCTGAATATCAGAATGGATTGGTTTGAATGTTATTATTTTGGAGTGGGTGAGCATAGAACACATCTCTGGCTTTAGTTCAAGTGTTGTTATGTTAAATTATATTATTATACTAAGTGAGAGTAAAAAAATTGAGAATTGTTATTAGAAATTGAGATACTGATATGCTACTATATATCATAGGTAAGTATATTTACCATAACATCAGTTTACTGCATAAAACTAAAAATACAAATTTTTTTTTTATTCAAAGCCATCTATTTCTTAGCAGTTTATCATGATTTTCTACCTTAGAACATTCACCCAGACAAGCATCAGAGAATTTTTG